AAAAATGACGTGCATCAAGGTCTATATGTTTAATGTATGTACCAAATTGACAAAATTTGTCCATGCATAACTGAGATCCGGGTCCGGAATGGTGAAAATGTGTGATTTTGATGCATTTTCGGCTTAAAATGGCCGCTATTCGGCTATCGTTAATCGGATCATGAAAAAATGCATGTGCATATGTCCCATATAATGTGTGATGTATGAGTGAAGTTTGAACTTAATCGGTCCATGCATGTTCGAGATACAGGTGATCACGGACGCACGCACGCACGGACGGACGCATACAGGGCAAAACATAAGTCCCCGTTTTCGGACTGCGTCCGAACGGGGACTAAAAATTGCCGGCAAACAGATAGTTTATTTATTTATGCTAATAGGGCAGCATAGTCCATATGATTGGTAACAATTGAAATATGCAGATTTGACCTTTAAATCACTGACCTCCCAAAGGGCCCACTAGCTCCCCTGTATTTAAAACTCGTTAACATATTAACTTTGCCGTAACTTACCTTGGGATGACAAACCAGTCCATGTATTACATTCATACTTGTACAAGTTCACTGAATTGGTGAAGTTATTTTCTGTCGCACCAGCAAGAATTATTAAATGTTGGGATGTTGTCACAGCAGCATGTAAATAACGAGGTAGTTGCTATAGAGAAAAAAATCACATATTTTTCAAATTAAATCCATGTCAAAATGTAATAACACAATAAAACCCATTTTTTAACAACTGAATTTAAAACCTAGGAGATGCACTCACACATTTGAAACACTAAATTTACAAAACCTATGAAACTTTATGCTGATTGGGAGATTATGTAAATGTTATATTTTGTAAATGTAAATGATGTAAATGTTATATATTGTAATTAGATTGGAAGCTTAACTCAATGGGGCATTGTGGTACTTCCAAGGTATATGGTTGTACTTCCATAGTGTATTGTTGTAGTACCATGGTGTATTGTTGTACTTCTATGGTTTATTGTCGTACTTCCATGGTGTATTGTTGCACTCAAATGGTGTACTATTGTACATCCATAGTGTATTGTTGTACTCCCATAGTGTATTGTTGTACTCCTATGGTGTATTGCTGCACTCCCATGATGTACTGTTGTACTCTCATAGTGTATTATTGTACTCCCATATACTCCTGTAGTACATCATGGTACCGTTAAAGTCCTATTATAAACCGCAGTTTATATTACAATGTATCAATTTAAAAATTGGGATCAAAAGCTCAAGTTCGGGGTGCAGTTTCTATTACGTACATATTGCAATCACTAAATGGGCGTGGTCATTTTTTGTCCACAACACATGCACAAAACAAACAATACACCGTACAATCTCTTGAATAGGCGTCGGGGAAGAGTGAAAGGCCTTATTTTGGTTCTAAAATTGGGTTACGAAATGTTGAAAAATTACGTTCAAAAAAAAATTCTACATGATACAAAAAATACTCAGTATTTTTAATGTAATATGCATTTATTTTTTTTAATTTTCTTGGTAACGAAAAGTATATTCTAACAGAAGTTTCAAATAAAAACACGAATGCACTGCTT